TACACCTGGGAGTTATTGTGAAAAACAACGAAAGCAGCGTTATCATTTTCTGCAGTCCTAAATTTTCCGGGTCGGCCACTGTGAATATGAGAAGTAACAGAAGACACCTTATGTTTCCTGTGAAACGACAAATCACCACATCTTGGGTTCCACTTACCATCAAGTTCGACAGTCAAGCAACCCCGCACRTCTTCCAGGTCAAACCCTGCAACAGTAGTGAGGCGATTCAATGGCARTAAACAACGAAGGGAATAGTCKTCTTGACAGATTGYCATGTTTTTGGAATTCCTTTGTCATCTACAACAGGAAKCCCAATATCACTAACGGAGGTGGACATCACATGATCTGTGAAAAAGATGCAACAACGAWTGAGTACGAACCASGGATTTATGCATACATATWTAACAATATGCAGAAATTATGARCTTCTTTGCTCATATTTCCACTGGAAAAAATCGCSCGCTTKAAAGGTTGTAAATTTGATGTARATATGATGTAAGTGTCCATAATTCTGTAAATTTGATGTAAATGATTTCCATTAAATTTACAGAATTATGGACACTTGCATCATATTTACATCAAATTTACAACCTTTAAAGCGCGCAATTTTTTCCAGTGTTCATGCATATAWAAAATATATCAGAAATTATGAGATATCATTGCCAAATTTTTTTTCAGAAAGTACTAGTGCTTTAGGCAATGATATCCCTTGATGTTCTGATATATTTTATATTTTGGAATATGAGTCAAATGATCATAATTTCTGAATACAGCCTTTTGCAAAAATTATGAGAATTGTCTAAATATCTAAATATCATAATATCCATATCCATATATTGTCMDGRACACGCGGGTTTGCTAGAATAATTCATTGTTGACATCGAGAAAATGTTCAGAACTATGTATAAGTCCGTCGCCAAAAAAAAAAAAACAACAAAGACAAGGGACTAAGGGCATCGCGCGGGATCATGCACTTGATTATATGATGTTTAGATATTTCAACAATTCTCATAATTTTTGCAAAAGGCTGTATTGCTGTATGTATCATAATATCTGTATACATGTATTGCTGTATGTATCATAATATCTGTATACATGTATTGCTGTATGTATCATAATATCTGTATATGAGTGCAGTAGAGATGTATTCCTAATTCTATGTTAACATTCATTTCTCGTGAGTGCAATGCCATAACGACCTATGCTTTCATTCATGCCGATAACGCAAAGAACTTGTAAGGAATTTCATTGCATTTTCCGGGAGCCTATTATAGGTCGGCGCTTTGAAGCTTTCTGCTGATTTTAAGGTCGGCTTCGGTATTGCTCTCATTTTTGTGGTGGTTTACGGTTGTGAAGAAGTCCCTCGGAAAATTGCCGGTTACGGAAAATTGCCGGTTACGGAAAATTGCCGGTTACGGAAAATTGCCGGTTACGGAAAATTGCCGGTTATGGAAAATTGCCGGTTATGGAAAATTGCCGGTTACGGAAAATTGCTGATTTTGCGACGCGGTTTACGGTTTCAGTGTGGAAGATTTCGATATGATATATCGCATTCAATAAGAATATCRAAAAGGAACGRTTATAGTCAGTCGATTTTTCAAGCGACGGTTGACGGGAAAATAAAGGGAAGTGGGGGCAGGGGGAAATCRGCGGTTTTGCGGTACGACTGCTTTCTATAATTGGTCCTCTTTGCGGTTTACTTTTGAACYTTTGTACTTTTATTATCGCACCACTGCACTCATTTCTTYAATTTAAACCACGAATGAAATGTTCGCACATTTGATTTCAGTGAATTATGACACTCGTGTGGATTTCCTACTTTTTACACCATTCACAGTTAAGTCGAGTCACYATGGTCACGTTCTCGGAAGCGTTCATAAAAAAAGAAGATTGAGATATCAGAGTTTCGCCCTCATTTTCCTTGTGGACTCTTGATCAAACACATACTCCTTTATCAGAAAATAACTTTCATTATTCTAATTTCCAGTCCTTTTTATTTGATCTTAATGTAATAATCACATATCATCAGTCGCAAACGTTATCTGCAGTATATGGACSCTTAGCCTGACAGCTTATGAAAAAAGCACACAGGYCGCGGTCTACACCATGGCGAAATTGTGGAGTTTTTTCCCGGACACTGTAGGAATCAATAAACSGCAATATTAGAACTCCTTTTCGGTGTATTTTTCGCCAAAGATAAAAGAGAAGACAAAAGGGGCATCCCAACTACATCAAGGGCCAACCTCATACGAATATGGACTTTATTAATGAATAACCAGCCGCATCTATATCCAAACATCATTCCTTTATAAAACAATTAGAAGATGAGTTATATTGCAGAGAAGAGACGATATTATAGTTAAGTGAAACCAAACTCAATAAAAAAATACCGGAATGGGCCGCGTCTGGATGGCATGCTTGGTGCACGCGGGAAGAACGAAGTCAAGATAAGGACTTGGAAAAACAGCTGGAGCGAGCATCAATGGAACCGTACAAGTCAATCTAGAAAACCGTATGGAAAATCAGGGTTTTTTTTTTTTTTGAATTCCTTGAATTATTCCTACATAATTTTGTATTAATTTGAATAATAATTGTTGAGATTATAGTGRAATATTAAACCAGACACCGATGCTCAATAGTAAAGTATTTGTTCTTGACAATGCCATTCAGAGATAAGTTTTGCTTCTTTTTACGTTTTTTGGTTAAATAAAATATACGAGGAACGCAGAGTTCTATTATATTAAATTATGATGGAAACTATCAATGCAGATCCATAAATCGTTTATAGGTGTCTGACGCTATAGTCAGCTGTACACGAACCGCTTTGTGTATATAAGATGAATTGTCACCAAAGTGAGAGTATCCCGTGGAATTCTTACTGTATATTCCTCATATTATACACAATTTTATCAGTAAAACCCACTTACTGTATAAGACTAGAGGARCCAAGTCGTTTCTGTTACCAAACGACTACTGTAGTCATCATCMATCAACTTGCTCAAACGGTACACCGGAGTTGGGAAGTGTCTCGYTATAAATAAAGTAGAAAAAATAGTCCTTTGGCTCGGTATTCTCTGTTTCTTCAACCGAACGACTGTGTTAAGGAGAAGCATTTTGAGCGTCGAACAAGCCATGATTCCTGCGAAGTAGAATTTTTTGGCGCTGAAAAATGTAAATCAGTCGATCGGTGTTAAAACGTGGGCAGTTCGTCTGGTTTCATACAATGAATGAGACAAAAACTGTCGTAAATCACACGCACTCGACGTCACGTAGCATGGGGCATTACGCAAGACTCTAATTTAGTTTCTTTTATAGTCAACAAACAATAACATTGAAGTCTGCCTTGTCAGATTTTCGACAGCTTTGTCCTTCTCAGCAAACGATATCATGTCATGGAGACAAACTAGAGAAGAACTAGAAGACGTTTTCATTAGGACTTTTTTAACGCGTTAAATGATTTATTTTGAAATTATTTCCATTTTTCCTTTGTGTATATACTGATAGCAAGAACYGATGAAGATATCTCCAAAATAGGCTTTCAGTGCAAAAATCATTGATAGTTCTTTGTTGTCATCATCGTCATCATGAAGAGCGCGAGGAACGTGCACTACTGCACATTGTATTGTTACATTGACTTTGGCAYTAAAATGCCCAATAACACTCCAACAAATCAAAAGAGCGGGCACCGTGTCTGATAACAGCAAAAAACACGTGGTACTTTAAACGAAGATACCAGATATAATAGTCGWTTCAACGTGCTCTGATTTGTCAAATCGTTTGCCTAATTGCACTACTAATCTTTCACAACAATACATCCTTTATAGAAAAGACCGGGTGCAACAAAGGCTACCCTTTTATTGGCTTAAGGTTCCTACCAGTCATTTGTACGGTGTATAAATATAGTCGTTTTGAAGGAGGCATTCCTGACTTGTTAGCATTGATATCATTATTTGCTCAAATATCACGAATTATTTCCTCAAATATCAATAWAGTGGAACTTCATCAGATGCTATAATAAGGAGAAAATTATAAGCCTTTCTGGTAGAGGCTTTCTAGCGTTAGATCCCAAGAATCCAAGAATACACCTATTTGAAATAACGTTGTCAGGGAGYMACAGCGATTGTCGAMAGAAGAATGCACGACCGAAAGGGACTATGGTTACACATAGGATTTTAATACCTTCACATAGAAATGGAAACTAAATAAAAATCACTGTTCACCACAGACTCTCTTACAGTGTAAATCAGTTGTTATTTTTCATCAAATAGCAAAACCTTTGGCTACCGGTCGGTCTGCAATCGCTGTTTGMCAATAGACATTCGCCATTTTATCATGATTTTATCGGCAACAACCTTTTTTTAACAAAGTTATTGGCTGAAATCTTCGAATCATATGACATGTGAAAGAATTAGAAACTAATTAATTGGAAAGAGTTGGAATGATCTGGGGAATCTCTTTTCTTTTACTCTTTACCAAAACTGAAAAATTCACTTAAGTAATRTGTGAGAGTGAGGCCACAAGAACAGTGATCAGTATTTTGTTTCACGGGCTGAATGTCTTTAATCAAGTGGTAGAACTATGACAATAAACCTGTGAAAACCTGACGGATTAATACACCTTTTTAGACTGCCGCTAATGCTGTTTTGTTTTGTGTCGATTGGATTATCACACCTTCTGACTGTATTAGATTTTCTCATGGGTTTCGTCAGTCTGGAATAGCGTATAGAAGTATTCAGTAGTAGGTGCGCAGCAAATTTCATTTAATTCATCAACAACGTTTATATGCAAAATGTCAAAAATATATCCAAACATGCTCATCGTGTTTCCGTTTTTATGACTAAAGTTATTTAAAGAAAGCAAACACGCCACCAAACAAGCTCGTGGAAGTGTGGTTTGGCATTGAGAAGGCTTATAGGGAATTAAGACATAGCCATTTGATTGGAGTATATGTATCTCGGCATTGAAACCAGAACAAAGACACTACTTTGTGGCCACTTACGCATAGTTTAGGTGGCTTGCTCATAGACACTTCATTAGGTTGCGAGTTAATCACCCTTAATATGATTGCGCAAACAAAAGATTTTCGACTAAATGGTGTTGAATCTGTAGAGTATCTACATTCAGTCAGACCCGTATTATAAAACATTCAAGAGCTCAATTTATTAGGAACTTAATTCTTATTTGATTGGAAGCAATTGCGAGCCAAAAAGCAAAGTCGCTCGGTAACCATGGAAGACAAGGGAGTCCTCTCAACAGCTRAAAACTTCAACTCCACGTCAAATGTAACTAAAGATGAAACTGCCATGAAAAGCATTGACGTCTTTCAAGTTTTCATGCTCTCTATAATACTTGTTTCTAGTTTYATTGGCAACGCTTTGGTGATCTGCGTCATGGTGTTAAGAAATGAAATAAGAACGAGAACAAACTTATTTTTTGCCAATTTATCAGTAATTGGAATTGGCTGTAGTTTAACAAGTATGGTGTTGATGATGATAGGATTAATCCCTGAAAATCCTTGGATCTGGAATCATGATTTGTGTAAAGTTAACTGCTTTTTGTGGCAACTGTGGCTTACAGAAGGCGTTTTTACAATTATTGCTTTAAGCGTCCATAAATACACATCAGTTGTCATGCCATTAATGAGGGTCTTCAACCGAAAAAGGACTTTAATGCTTTTAGCTTTGACATGGATATTAGCTTTTCTAGTTGCGGCTGTTCCACTTTTAGGCTGGAGAGATGTTTCCTTYAAGTCAGAAAGCTCAGCTTGTTTTTACAACACCGGTGCATCTAAAGTGCTTCAARTTTCTCATGTTGTGTTTGTCACTTCCATAGATTACGTGCTGCCAATTWTTGGTGTTTTCGTCGTATATTTGAAAGTGTTTCGTGAAATCTCTAAACACAAATCAAGGATTAGGGATACCAGGATTATAGATGACATGGGAGTTCGTGCAAAGCAGCGCCTGGTCACAACAATATGTATTATTTTAACTGCATTCTTTTTATGTTGGACTCCTTTCTGTGTATACATTGTCCTTACACTTTTTGTTCTTCATCTTCCAAGTGAATTGTTGAGTGCTGCTTTTTAYTGCGGTTTTCTATTCAACGTGCTTTTCCCCACCATGTTGGCCATCAGAAATCCACGATTCARACGTGGTTTCCTCGATGTTCTACTTTGCAAGTCRTTCAGGAAGGACAAACAGACTGAACTTGGGCTTTCGTTTAGTAGCATGTTATCCAATACAAATTCAGGTTTTGAGTTTTTAGAGGAAAGGCGATGTTCAATTTGGTACATGTCTACACAGAAAAACCTGCTGAGTATTGAACCAGTTCCTCCAGAAAGACGACTCAAGCTCAGATGGATTGAGACTAATTTATGAATTATCTCAAAATTAAAAAACAAAAATAGTGTGGTAAAGAAATAATTTTATAAGTAGCTAATGAGATATGCGATGGTCTAATGGTTCTCTGGTTCCAAAGATTGGGATATTTCCAAGAGAAACCAATTGTAGCTGTCAGTTTTACTATGTTAGTCTTCAAGTCTGAAAATACAATATACCATACATATCCTAAAGGATGGATTGACGTTTTCTTTAGACAACAGTTATACTGTCTAGCTATGTCCCGGCTCCCTGTACCTTCTGAGAGATGAGTCAACTTACAGCTGTACAGATGTTATAGACATAATGATGCAAAATAATTACTTTTTGAAGATATTTAATTTGATTTTCTTGCTCCTGGCAAAAATTGAGAAATAAATACTTTTTACTTTATAAAGTTTTTTGTATTTTTTGCTCCAGAGAATCTAATAACTTTAAAAGTGACACCTGCTCATTATATTCATAAAACTTCGAGAAGAATCATATACAACGACTATCATCACCAAGTGCAATGAAATTTGACTAGAGACTGCATGGCAACACTAGTAGGGATGTTGATACAATTGCCAGTGCCACATTTATTTATTAAAAAAGGTTGTTGGTGAACAATAGCCTAGCAGCCCTCTTGGGATCCCTGTGTACAAGGAAAGAGAGGCTGCTACACAGATGATGAAATGACAGAACAAAAATATTCAAACCAAGTTTTGTAGTTTATTCTAGGATATATCCACTAATAATCACATTCTGGATGGTTTATTACATTAGCTCCTTTCAGTTCTACAAGTTTCATTCAAGTATCACCATTCTCTTCGAAAACCTTTTTTGAAATAGCTATTTGCGAAATGAGATTTGCCACGCCATCTTTCTATATTGTACCACAGGGATCGCAAGTAACTTTATTACATGATATTTTAAATTTAAATAATTGTCAAAAACATCATTATTGAAGATCTCCATGAATACCCATAACAACTTGCGATCGTGCGGCATGAGAAACAGTAACCTCACCTGGTAGACCTTCGTTTGAATAATRTTCACTAATGATCCCGCTCATTGTCCATTATATTGAATTGATGTAAAAATCCAAGTCGATAATAAGTTAAAATTGTTATTCTAATGTGTAATATACAATCCACTCGACGAACAATGCAATAATAGCGAGACTTATSAGAACAATGTTGTTGTCTTTCTTTCGACGCGTCCTGAACCCAAACGCAGTCCATGGGAATAAGTCGATCATGATCAGTAGGCCAAGCACTAAAATTGTTGAAATCACTAGCACTCGTAGAAATGGATGGTTATCATCTTCGAAAATTTTCATCTTGAAATGAAATCTGGTTTCCTTTGTTTTGAAAGCGTTCTTAGATCCAAGTCAAAACACCCAATCTTTTCTTGAATCRAAAGGAAATATTTTCCTACAAAACACGATACTCTGTYTGGATTATTAAAACCTCAGGCAACAATAATATACAAAAAAATACCCTCTGATAAAATGATAAAACTTACTGGTCAAACTGCTGTTATATTTAAGTTAATGCAGAAAATACAATTTCTTGGTCGCCATTTTGAATTTCCAAGTGTGATWAACGCACAGGCGTTCTTTTCTTACCAAAGGAAACCCAGTCACATTATGAAAGAAGACAGATGTCCCTCGATGTCCCCCAGACTACCACTCAACGAGTTGCGACTCGTTGCGACACAACATCCTTCCCGTCCCCAGAGAAATTAATCTAAAATCAACATAATTTTAATAGTTTTATAAATGTTCATCATGATCATATTTTAAAAATTATAGCAGCTAAGTAAAAATAAAACTAGAATTTTTTTTCAGAAAAACCAGCCTGATCTTTTGTAGATCTTTCAGCACGTAAAATAATGCCGTGAGCTGCATTCAGACATCACATGACATTCGTATCAAATTATACGCTGGGGGTGGGAGTAGAGGCTTGGGATAACATGCAATTCAAAAGAGAAAGACCTTTAACAATTAAAACTATTTGAGTCTTTTTTACCATAAGCATCATTTCAAAACTAAATTAGTGATCAAACTCTAGCGTATTTTGTGTTTAATTGCATTCCGAGTCTAGAAATTGTTACGTGCAGGGCAGGGGTCGGTAAGGGTATGACGTCACGGACAGACAAACCTTCGAAGCTGTGCGTGCAGTATTTGGCGTAGTGGAAGTTGAATTTTATATAACTCAATACGAAAATGGCTGAAGAAGAAGCAAAACGCATAGTTTTACTACCTGTAGATGATAGTAAACATGCAATGGATGCTTTTGACTGTAAGTGGTATTTTTGTCACCCTTTTAACTTGAAATATAGTCGACTGAATTCCTTCCGAGGCGAATTGTTGCATGAAGAACAGACGATCCGAAGCAAACCTTGAAACGCACACTGAATTTTACATAGCCTCCATCCTTGAATAGTTGATTAAGTTTTTATCATGTTTTTGTTGTGCAATATGCTATTTTCGTATGATTTTTGTACAATATTCTTTTGAATCTCATTATGTATTTGCATTCGTGATCACTGTGGCCAAACAACACAACGAACCCTCCTATCAAAGTCGCATATTAATTATTATCGTCGAATCAAAGATTATTGTCAGCTAAATATTCATGACAAGTATTTCCCCTTTTTTTGTGTACTGTCGAACAGTCATTTTTGTCACCTTRTTCACACGTTGCAAATTATAATTCAATGGAACTTTTTAATCCCTCATTAAGTTTATATATTTTCCGCAAGGGATTGTTCGTTACTGTATTTATTGTGAAGAGGGGGCGGTGTTTAGGTTAGTTTAATACAGCAAGAAATGCATCCCTTAAAATAAGAAAAGCTAGACTTTTCTTGGAAATTAARTACTGCCCCCCTCCCTAATAACTTTCCAAAATAATGCTTTTGCTCTTTCCATGTCTTTTCTCTTCCATGTTTTTACTTGTTGTAACTTTTTATTTTCATTTTACACCTGCCTTCACTCTAAAAAGATATTTATAATATTTATGCATTACAATCTTGCATTTCCACTTTGCTTGGTATCTTAGGAGGGGGATCTAAAGTTTTCTTTTCTTTTCCCAAGGGAGTTAGCAAAATAGAGTGTACAATTTTTACGTTGAGGCTAATTGAAATTTTAGGTCTGTGATAGGGTCAGGGTTTTGAGGTCCTGGTAACACAACCATACCACAGTTTTGAGTACCTCCTCCCACCCACCCCTCCCATTATTATCACAGAGTTGGAATATCTGTTGATGTTGGTTAATTCTCAGTTAATGTGTTTTACTATTTCACAGGGTATGTGAAAAACATTCGCCATGACAATGATAAGTTGGTAATTGTACATTGCCATGAAATTCATCATAGCGTCACTCCTCGTAAGTTCTCATTTTTCAATGGTGGAATAGATGTATTAATCTCTAAAACAAGTATTACTAATAATTACATAGAGTACCAACATTAAATGTGTGCAACACTTTCCACTATTTACTACAAAATAAATGTTAATTAAACAATTGAAAACAAGAATTAGCATAATTATTTAAATAATAACAATAATTAGTAATTATTGTTTGTACTCTACTGAAAAGTGTTGATTAAACAATTGAAAACAAGAATTAGCATAATTATTTAGATAATAACAATAATTAATAATTATTGTTTGTACTCTACTGAAAAGTGTTGATTAAACAACAAATAACCAAGGAATTTGCATAATTCAGCACCTGTTTTGTACTTATTTGCATTTCATGGAAATAAGTTGAGTTTATAGGAAAAAACAAAGTCTTCAATATACCAGCATTTTATGAAGAACCAGGTTAAAGTGCAATGACCTGTTTGTCATGAATGAAGTTAGAGATGAATGTGTTGCTGCAGAYAGCCCTGTAGGACCATCTATGCAGRCTAGAGAGCTATCTATATATAGATGTCATTTAACAACTGACTGRTTGTTATACTGACAAAAATTGGTTTTAYTGCAGATGCAATGGACACACCAGAATGGTCCAATCATGTAGGAGCTCAAGAGGAAAAAATCAAGGCCCTTGAAAAAAAATACAAAGACAAACTGGAAGCAACTCATGTAAGACATTCTGGTTACAACCCTTGTATTGTGACAGTCAGCTTCAACTACTATTACCATATCTGTTTAAATTTATCATGCTGTCAATCACCAAAAACCAACCTGTCAATCACATACTTTTCTATCCCTATACATATTAATTATTCAGGAGCAGATTTTTATAACCTTTGAAAGAAAATGATATTTTTTTCCCTGAAAATTAGCTGCAAGTGATCCCAGATAACAGTAATACCATTTTATTAAAATGCCAATTCAAAGGGTATGGAATGGTAAAATCTGAGTCTCTCAGAGCCTGCAAGCCCCTCGTTTTAAAAAGCTTTTGGGCTTCTGAGTCCAATATTTCGGCAATTGACAGCTTCTGAGCAAAAGGCAATTCAGACACCATTCTATACTCCTAATTCTGAACCAATTTTGTAAACAATAAAAAAAGAACAATTCAATAACAACAAATCTCACATTTCAAATCCACTTTAAACTGCTAGATCTAAAATATGCCTGTCCTCTTTTTTAGATTGCAGCAGACATCAAGGTCTTTGGAGGMAAGGCTGGGGAGGCAATCTGTGAGGCAGCCAAGGTTGAAGGGGCCCATATGATAGTGATGGGGTCTAGAGGATTAGGTGCTCTACGCCGTACTATCTTAGGAAGTGTCAGTGACTATGTTTTGCATCATGCTCATAAACCAGTCATCATTATTCCAAAGAAATGAACAGTCCATGTGAAGCCCAATTTAACAGTACTGTATTGACATCCATAGGGCTTAGAAATCCTTTTKATTCACCCCTGCTTTCTTTATGCATTGTATTCTAGCAACTAATAAAATGTATTTGATGAAATAAGACTGACGACTCCTTTTATGAGGGACAAGTTCATAAAGTTCTTTCCTTTCTTTCTTTCCCTTTGTATTTCATTCCTTGGGAGTAGAATTTACAAAGAAGTGACCACCTAATTTTTAAGTA